AATTTTGAAAATAGTAACAAAGCGAAAATAACCGCTTGCTTTGTTTTCATATTCGATGCATAAAGCACGTGCGCGCGCTCTCTCGTGGTACTAGTTAGTTGAGTTCTATAATGTATGACTGGCAAAAGCACATTCCTAAGAATGGCTTCGCCACTTTTATTGCCCACGGGGGAAGAGTCCACACACTTGGAACAATCGCGCCTCAGTCTTTTTTAAGGATCCCCAACCCCCTTCACCTCCAGAGATTTGACACGTTTAGGACAAAGTTTCGCTTTGTTTTATAGGAAGGTTCTCTATGCGAAAATGCGTGAAAGTGTTACAAAATAAGGCAAAACCAGATAAATGTGTATAAGAACTGGTTTGTTGATTGACCATTAAGTTGAGCTGGATTAAATTCGTGTCAAATGAATCAGAGTGAGATGTTCAGAATCCGAATGAGATGATGTATGAAACTGTAAACTGTAGCCTATGTATTATAAGGCATTTACATTAAATGCATGCTATGTGTGGATAAAACTTACTAGGTGGAGTTAAACTTTATTCTTTTTTTTTTTCTTTTTTGTGATTTTGTCTTGTATTTAAGTCAAATGAAGAAAAAAAAATAGTCCTAAAATGAGACCTAGAAGTTTTGAAAGTAACCAATTTTGAAAATAGTAACAAAGCGAAAATAACCGCTTGCTTTGTTTTCATATTCGATGCATAAAGCACGTGCGCGCGCTCTCTCGTGGTACTAGTTAGTTGAGTTCTATAATGTATGACTGGCAAAAGCACATTCCTAAGAATGGCTTCGCCACTTTTATTGCCCACGGGGGAAGAGTCCACACACTTGGAACAATCGCGCCTCAGTCTTTTTTAAGGATCCCCAACCCCCTTCACCTCCAGAGATTTTACACGTTTAGGACAAAGTTTCGCTTTGTTTTATAGGAAGGTTCTCTATGCGAAAATGCGTGAAAGTGTTACAAAATAAGGCTAAAGTGTTTAAATGCTGTAAATTCAGCCGAACATTTCTTAGTAGTCGCTTTTGTGTGAGAAGCACTCCTATTATATTGGCAACAACAATAACCGATACTTAAAAAACTTGGAAAACACTTCAGAAATTTTTCCAAGAGCTTCTGGAAATGTTTAGGCTACTTAAACAAAATCAACAAACTGTTTTTCTAAACACCCCTTGAGGAATCAAATTATACAGCCTACCTCAATTATCTGGTCCAAATCATCCTTATTTAAGCAGGGATATTTCATTAATAACTCGGCAGTGCGGTTTTTATAATCGTCCAGAGCTGTATTTAAATGCGGCTCCTCGAAGATCTGAAATATCGCGGCTCCGATGGACAGGTAGAAAATGATGACTGAGGTAAGAATCGGTCCTTTATCTGCCATAATACTGAAGTAGATCCTTCTCTGTGCTCAGTTACATTCAAGTAATAACCACTCCTGAAGTCGCCTAAGTTTTTGGTGATGTGTTACTTAAACGTAATGATGCGGGTGAGGAGGAAGTGGAATTCGGAGCCACGCCTGGCTGTAGGTGTGAACGCGAGGAGTGTCCGCCTTGTCTGGCTGTAAACTGCGTGGTTTTGCTGGAGGCTGCGATTTTTTGATAGATTTTAAGATTCATTTTAGTTTTGAGGAAAGACACCCCTTGAGGAATCAAATTATACAGCCTACCTCAATTATCTGGTCCAAATCATCCTTATTTAAGCAGGGATATTTCATTAATAACTCGGCAGTGCGGTTTTTATAATCGTCCAGAGCTGTATTTAAATGCGGCTCCTCGAAGATCTGAAATATCGCGGCTCCGATGGACAGGTAGAAAATGATGACTGAGGTAAGAATCGGTCCTTTATCTGCCATAATACTTAAGTAGATCCTTCTCTGTGCTCAATGACATTCAAGTAATAACCACTCCTGAAGTCGCCTAAGTTTTTGGTGATGTGTTACTTAAACGTAATGATGCGGGTGAGGAGGAAGTGGAATTCGGAGCCACGCCTGGCTGTAGGTGTGAACGCGAGGAGTGTCCACCTTGTCTGGTTGTAAACTGCGTGGTTTTGCTGGAGGCTGCGATTTTTGTGACTTGTGATTTTTTGATAGATTTTAAGATTCATTTTAGTTTTGAGGAAAGACACATTCAGTGAAACAACAAACTTACAAGCATTAGAAGAAGGGCAAAGAGATCTTTTCACAGAACTTATAGCCACTCTTCTTAGTCATTTTTGTATTTACTTTTAAGGTGTTTTAAATTAATGTATGAAGTCAGTTCCCCACAAGTTCACACAGGTGTCCTTGTTGCAGAGTACACGCTGTAAAAAAAACCCCCAAAAGTTCCAAATAGGGTGTTTTTTCAGGAATGCCATAGAAGAACCATTTTAGGTTTCCCAAAGAACCGTCCAGGGAACGTTTCTTAAAAGAATATTTTTCTATAACATTTTAAAGTTCTAAAAAACCTTTATCCAGTATGAGTAACCTTTTTTTCCTTCATATATAACCATCCATGGTGCTGCATTCGACACTATAGACCGTGACATACTCTTAGGCCGACTACAAAATTACACTGGTATTCAGGGACCGGCATTACAGTGGTTTAGATCGTACTTAGAACAACGTTACCATTTTGTCTACTTAAATGGTGAAAAATCAGAGTTAACATCAGTAAATTATGGGGTGCCGCAAGGATCTGTGCTAGGCCCTCTGTTATTTTCAATATACATGCTGCCACTTGGCAACATTATTAGAAAACATGGAATTAGTTTCCACTGCTATGCGGATGATACTCAGTTATATATTTCATCACGACCAGATGATCCAAACTATCCAAGTTGGCAAATTCAGACAAGACTGAGGTATTACTTATTGGACCAAACACCTGCACACAGAATCTCTTAGAATACAATTTGCAACTAGAAGGATGTACTGTTATGTCATCATCTGCAGTTAAAGACCTAGGTGCTATATTAGACAGCAACTTATCTTTCGAAAATCATATTTCATATGTTACAAAAACAGCCTTCTTCCACCTCAGAAACATTGCTAAGCTACGGAACATGTTATCTGTTTCTGACGCAGAAAAACTAGTTGATGCATTCATGACCTCTCGACTAGATTACTGTAATGCACTACTAGCTGGTTGCCCTGCATCGTCAATAAACAAGCTACAGTTCGTCCAAAATGCAACTGCTAGAGTTCTTACCAGGTCAAAAAAATATGATCATATTACCCCAATTTTATCATCTCTACACCTATTAAGTTCCGTATTGATTTCAAAATATTGCTACTGACCTATGAGGCACAAAATGGTTTAGCCCCTGTATATTTAACTGATCTTCTTATGTCCTATAATCCATCACGCTCTTTAAGGTCACAAAACTCTGGACTTTTAGTAGTGCCTAGGATATCTAAGTCCACTAAAGGAGGGATAGCATTTTCTCATCTGGATCCCAAACTCTGGAGCCTTCCTGATAATGTCCAGGGCTCAAACACACTCTCTCTGTTTAAATCTAGATGAAAGACATCTCTTCAGACAATTTTTTAGCTTGAAACGTTATGAACAGCAGCTATGCTAATTCTTTTCCATTTGTCTTTCTGTTCCTACCATGCACAGCTGCCAAATTTTCTCTATATTGTAATCATTATGATCGCATTTGTAATCGCTTTAATGAGCTTCTGTTTAGCTAACTGTATGATTCTATTACCCTGAACCTGTTCATTTGTTAAATGAACATTACTTGGACACAATCACTTCTGATAACAGATCACTCTAAATTGTAATGTGGACACATGCATTTTCTGTAAAGCTGCTTTGAAACAATGTGTATTGTGAAAAGCGTTATACAAATAAATTTGAATTGAATTGAATGGCAAAAAAAATATTTGTATTTTGACACATGAATGTATATATGAATGTAACATTTTGTTTTGTTATCTAATGAAATGCCATACATTTCTAATCAAGGGTCCAATTACTTTGGAATCGGTGTATTTAGTTTTCTTACATTTTTTTTCTCTTTTGTCCTGATCCCTTTGTTGATCTTCTTATTTTCTGTTACATTGCAACTAAATCTGAAATTATCTTAAAAATCAAAAGATAATCAATATAACAATGAAATAATGTAATAGCGTTTACAAGACAAGTTTACAAAGACATATTTCATACTGAAGTTCTCTTCTTTTTTACTGAGTATACTATATATATAGTAATAGATATCCATCTTACTGGTTGAGCAACATACTAGATCTGCTTTTAAAAGGAAATGCGAGTCAAGGTTTCTTCTCTGTGTGAACGCCGGACACTTAACACCATTCTTCCTATTTCACACCTGAAGAAAGCTATTAAAAGTTTAGCGGATTTTTTCATAATATCCTGTGACCTTTAAATAGAAAATGCAAAGGCCTCTGTGAATTGAAAGTCAGATTCCCAAATCCCAAACAGGAACTCATGCCCACAGCGGAACTGTCCTCTCACATCAAAATTCACCAATTTGTTTTGTACTGTTTTCACTTGTAAACACTTGATCTGTGCATATTTCTCTCCTGATTCAGACGAGATTATTATAGAGGAATTTTAGACAGAAGCAACAATTTGTAGTAAAAAAAAATGACGGATTTGTTTTTTAACTTCACAGGACATTAATTGATGGACTGGAGTCGCGTGAATTACGTGTGGATTATTGTGATGTTTTTATCGGCTGTTTGGACTCTCATTCTGACGGCACCCATTCACTGCAGAGGGATCCAGCAAGTGATGTAATGCTACATTTCTCCAAATCTGTTCCCATGAAGAAACAAACTCATCTACATCTTGGATGGCCTGGAGATTAGTAAATTTGGGTGAACTATTCCTTTAAAGGTTCTTCATTGGAAATGCCAATAAACAACCTTTGTTTTTGAGAGTGTGACTGTTCGTTCTTGTTTCGGTTTCCCAATTGAAACTATGAAAACATTCATTTATGCATTGTTAATACCTGGGTGATTCAGTCAATCATATATAATTCTTAAATTACAAAAGTCTAAAACTGGACAAACAAGATGTATCAGAAAGGTGCACCACCCTGAACACAGTATGAAATTAAAAATGGCAGTACAGCCCTATTATTCACCTCCTGAAGAAGGTCAATAAGTTCTCGTCTGCGGTTGCGGCATTTGGCAGCAGCCATTTTGTTACGCTCTCTTCTCCGTCTTATCTTCTCCTCTTCGTCTGGAGTGAGCTAATAATGAAGCAATATAACAGAGTATTATTTTAAAAACCAGAATCCCATATTTATGTCCGTCTTTACTTTATTGATCTGTTGTTACCTTTTAAAGATTAATGCAGTTATAGAGAGAGGAGACTGGGGCTAGTTGTCACACTGGAAAGTTGCCATAGTACAAGCTGAACACAAATGTGTGTTTTAGATTCTGATTAAATTAGGATATTCTGGTGTGAATTCAATATATCAACATCATCATATTTTGCTATAGCCTTATAACACTCATTCAGGCAGAGGCCATCTATATAATCGTTAAAAGTTGAACAGGACCAGCATTTTTGGAAAAACTGCACTCATTTATTATTTATTAATGACAATATCTGTTGACCAAAACATTTATATTTTACATTTTTTTGCTATTTTATGTGTTTATTGTATGCATAAGTCTATACAGAAATAATAATGTGTTGTATTTGAAGTCCTTTTACCTGTATATTTCTTTTGAAGCTTTCTCTCTGGTTTGCTGTAGGTTCACTGGTCTGGTCCAGACTCTCACTGGGCATCACTGGCTCGATCATCCAGCGCAGCTCTTGTCTCGATGGGACTGCATTGACAGTGGCGATAAAAGGACTTTTGTATATCTGCATTTCGACCTGGCTGAAAAGAGAAGAGGGGGAAAAAAAGATGCGGTAAATGAAATTAGATCAAATGGAAAATACTGCGTTTGTACGTAGGTTTATGTGCTTATATTAAATGGTTAAAACATGCGAATTCATTGACCTAAAACATAATTACTCACCTTATGGAATCGGAGATATCGCCTCCAGAGATGCAGTTTCGTTCAGTTGCGTTCATTCCAAATATCTCCAAATTAAATGGTATTTCGCCATGGATTTATCCTGGTTGAGGTGTTTCCACGCACTAGCGGCACTCGTCCATCAGGATAGACACATACACAGCCTAAATAAATACACATGCTCTATCAGTGTCTTATATACTGTTATTAAAATTTCATACATTTTCATTTGATTAGTTTGTGATGCAGAATAAATAAAACATTAGGCTATTGTTTTTAATTTTATTGTGTTTATAAAACATCTTGCTGGTTTTATCTGGTCTCTATTTTTTCCCAACAGGGTTAAAAAAGGAAATTCTAGAGTAGATATATGCATATATTTAATTTCTATTGATATTTTCTAAAAACTTTTCTAAAATGGATTGTGAGAAACTGTATAGACATTTGTTCAAAGCTGTCACATTTCGTAATGTTTTTAAATCATTTGAAGTGCATTGTTATGACTAACTGAATCTGACAAACATGTTTCTTTAAACCCCCAACAGGGTTAAAAAAGGAAATTCTAGAGTAGATATATGCATATATTTAATTTCTATTGATATTTTCTAAAAACTTTTCTAAAATGGATTGTGAGAAACTGTATAGACATTTGTTCAAAGCTGATACACTGTCACATTTCGTAATGTTTTTAAATCATTTGAAGTGCATTGTTATGACTAGCTGAATCTGACAAACATGTTTCTTTAAACGATAATTAGCATGCAGCAGGGCTTGGGTTTATAAGTTCCATATAATAGCCATGCTGGAGTTAATGAGCAAAAACACAGAGCGTTCTTAGACTAAACACAGAGACCTATGCCTGCATCTGTGAGCTCTTGAGTGTGTTTATGTATGTGTGTGTTTAGCAGGGAACAGCATGTGCTCGGCCACACTACCACAGTTGTGTAGGAGTGAATGTCACACAAGAATATTCTCCAAGGCTCAGTGTTATCACAGCTCAGATGACATTTTCTTAGAGATTCAAACTACCTTACCTTCAGACTGAGATGCATTTCACACAGATTTTAGTGAAAATGAGCCAAGAGAATTCTGCTTATGCACATCTTGCGTCAAGTAACAACATTTTTGTGAACATGTGTTACATGATTAGTTTATACAGCTGTCCATATTTGCTGTTTTGCATTAAATTGTGTCTTATTTTAATGGACACACCAAAGCATATTGAGACTAGTTACTGTGCTGTTTGTTAAAGACACAATGATATAATGTAAGAGTGTGCGGGACTAAAGGACATATTATATGTGAAAGAGCTCATAATTAACCCACAAAGAGCATGAGAGGCCGGATATGTGAGTAGGCATAAGAGCGGACACAAGTAGAACAAAAACTCAGGGAATAAGATAAAGAAGGATGGATGAAGATAATGGAAAAGCAAGGTGAAGAGAAAAGGGAAATTTTGTTTTTCTTCATCCGTGCTTATAGGCCTGCTTGTAGCTCATTCGATTTTTCACGTGAATGCAATAATTAAACACTAATGCATCCATTAGCAAAACATGCATTCAACCTGTTGCTTGGCAACACCACCAGCTCTCAATTACATAGTAACACTGCAGTCTCTGTTCATATAACTTGGCTGCGTTTCATCAAACATGTGACAAGATGCAGTTGAATAGTGCTGGTGACTACAAATAATGGGAATCAAACATGGGGTTTTGTTCCATCAAGCTTATATTTATGCATTTGCCAGACACGTTTAATCAAAGCACATTGCATTCAGGGTATACATTTAATCAATTCATCCAATCCCCTAGCTGGGAATCACACTCATGACCTTGACAGAACTAGCACTGTGTTCTACTGTTTGATAAAACATAACACAAATACACAATCATGTCAGTATGGAATCAAACTCATAAAACAACTGCACATTTAGATTCGATTTACTCTTAGGGTTAATGAGTTAAAGGTCCCATATTTTACACCTTTCTGGAGTTTTATTTTCTAAAATGGATTGTGAGAAACTGTATAGACATTTGTTCAAAGCTGATACACTGTCACATTTCGTAATGTTTTTAAATCATTTGAAGTGCATTGTTATGACTAGCTGAATCTGACAAACATGTTTCTTTAAACGATAATTAGCATGCAGCAGGGCTTGGGTTTATAAGTTCCATATAATAGCCATGCTGGAGTTAATGAGCAAAAACACAGAGCGTTCTTAGACTAAACACAGAGACCTATGCCTGCATCTGTGAGCTCTTGAGTGTGTTTATGTATGTGTGTGTTTAGCAGGGAACAGCATGTGCTCGGCCACACTACCACAGTTGTGTAGGAGTGAATGTCACACAAGAATATTCTCCAAGGCTCAGTGTTATCACAGCTCAGATGACATTTTCTTAGAGATTCAAACTACCTTACCTTCAGACTGAGATGCATTTCACACAGATTTTAGTGAAAATGAGCCAAGAGAATTCTGCTTATGCACATCTTGCGTCAAGTAACAACATTTTTGTGAACATGTGTTACATGATTAGTTTATACAGCTGTCCATATTTGCTGTTTTGCATTAAATTGTGTCTTATTTTAATGGACACACCAAAGCATATTGAGACTAGTTACTGTGCTGTTTGTTAAAGACACAATGATATAATGTAAGAGTGTGCGGGACTAAAGGACATATTATATGTGAAAGAGCTCATAATTAACCCACAAAGAGCATGAGAGGCCGGATATGTGAGTAGGCATAAGAGCGGACACAAGTAGAACAAAAACTCAGGGAATAAGATAAAGAAGGATGGATGAAGATAATGGAAAAGCAAGGTGAAGAGAAAAGGGAAATTTTGTTTTTCTTCATCCGTGCTTATAGGCCTGCTTGTAGCTCATTCGATTTTTCACGTGAATGCAATAATTAAACACTAATGCATCCATTAGCAAAACATGCATTCAACCTGTTGCTTGGCAACACCACTTTATGCAGGCTGTGTGCATTTTACTGTGGACTGACTGTTTTGAAACTTATATGGTAGTTACATAGCACATAGACCTCAGTTATCGTGAAAAAAGCCAGGAAATTTCAGTTTTGACAATATGGGACCTTTAACTTAGTGGTTAAAGATTTGGGCTAATAATTCAAAAGTGGCCGATTGTGTCCTCGGAGAGGGTGATTTATTAACTTGATCTTTTAACTGAATTACTGGATTTTTTTTTTACCCATTTGAGCATGACACTTTGCTGTCAGTGTAAGTCATATATGTCACATTTTGAATAACAAAGTGTCTCATTGGTTTAGTTTGAGTTGTAAACTGGTGTCTAATCAAACTGTATATAGCCACATTTACTTAAGTGAAAATTATCCACATTTATCTATACTTATTTGAGTATTTAAAAGTTAATGTGAATGTGTTTTTTTCTTAGTTTGGAAATGAACTGATGAAATCAACATGAAGTACCTTTCATGCAAATTGTAAAGCAGTTCATAATGCAATTTGATTCGTCACATTTTTATTATGGGTACACGACAGAACACTTTTCAAACATTCTTTTGACTTTTTCTTGTCTTCTTGTCTAGTCGCTGTAAAAGATTTTTGTCAGATGCTGGATTTGAACAGAGACCAGACACCTCATGATATGAGAACAATGAAACCTCTCGAGTCTGGTGCCTTAAAACGCTCGACCAATCGGAACAATAGCACACTAATGATCATCAGTGGAGCCTAAAATGTGACACTATGTAGAATGCAAATGATAGCATTTAATGTATTTACATTCTTTGAGTTTTAACATGTAGTCACTCTAAAAATGTCAATCTGACACTTAGCGGACTGCATTTAATCATCACTCCTATCAGTGGAAACTTCATGCAGAATGCAAGTGATAGCACTTAATGCATGTTTTTTTTTTTTTTTGTCTAGTGACTCTATAACTTGCCATCAGAAGTGGGATTTGAACCCATACCTCCATTCAGAGACCAAAAACCTCATGTCCTGAGAAGATTGAAAGCGCTTGAGTGCAGCACCTTGGACTGCTCTGCAATTCTGACACTTAACGCTGCTTTGTTGATCAGTCATAACAGTGGAGTCTGTATGGCAATACAAATATGTAAAATGCAAATGATAATGCATTTGCATTCATTTGAGTGTTGAATGCTCACTCTAAAATGTTTTTATCAAAAGCGAGATTTGAACTCACGCCTCCATTCGGAGACCAGAATCCTCTTTACCTGAGAATGTTGAAACACCTTGAATCTGGTGCCTTAAAACCCTCTTCCATTAGGGTTGCTTGCTCTATGAGTCCAATCAGTGGAGCCTTCAATATGGAATGACAATCATAGCACTTAATGCTTTTACAGTCTTTGAGGTTTAATTTCTTGTCACTCTAAATTGTCAGTAGTGGGATCAGTGTCCCATCAGCGTGCCCTGTGGTACTGTGTTGCATGCAAATTATACATTTGCATACATGTCTAGTCACTCTAAAAGCTAACTGTCAAGACTGGGATTTGAACCCACAGCTCCATCCAAAGACCAGAAACCTCATGTACTGAAAAGGTCGGAAATCCTTGAATCTGGTGCCTTAGCCATTCTGAAAACTGATTCGGGTTATTTAATTGAGCCGTCTTATCAATGGAGCCTCCGTTTTGGTACGATGTTGAACGCAAATGGCACATTTGCATTTACATTCTTTTGAGTTTTGACTTTTTATCTAATCACTCTAAAAGGATCTTTTCAGAAGTGGTATTTGAACCTACGCCTCCTTTCAGAGACCAGAAGCCTGCTCCTGACTCTTGCTGTTTGAATTTCAAAGTACTTTTGAAGGCTGTTGCTATGTGGGGATTTATCTGCTGTGGTATACCGCACTGTATCTTGAAAGGGACTTTGGGTATACGAGTGTCCTTTACAAGAGGACAATACATGTTGAAAAGGAAACAGAATGTATTGTGCATGCTGTGCCAGCATGTTTACATCACTGCATCATAGCCTACATTCAAATTTGGCCAATGATTCTCTTTATGAAGTAAATTGCTCTTTCTGTCAGTTCCTTAATGGAAAATACTACTCTTGTT